AGAGAGAGAGAGATATCTTTAGTGTCTCTTCCTCTTCTCACAAGGAGACCAGAGCTATGGGATTCAGGCCCCACTGCTCACTTCATCTAACTTACCTCCTGAAAGGCCCCATCTCCAAATATAGTCACATTGGGAGGGGCAGGGCTTTAACATAGGAAGTTTGGCAGGACACAATTCAGTGTCTTAACACCTCTCCACCTGTGTGATCTCACATTTACAACTCCTGTTCTTCATAGGCTTTCTGACATAACAACACCAAATTCTTCAAATTCCCCATATTTCTTGCATTTGTTTCCCCCTCATGCTGTGGTGCATGCTTTATTTTTGCTCACTTCTCCCTGCTTGTCTGCCTGGCAAACCTGCAGTTCAAACTCTTCTTCAAGGCATTCCCTGACTTTTCCCAGGAAGAATTACTGTGTCTTGTATATAACCTCCAATAATATAGCATTATCATGTTGTTTTAATTGACCGTGGATGCTCAATACATATTAATATTTTTAACATATGAATGATGCTAGTATTTTTAAAAGATCTCCTAATATTGCTGAACTACAAAGCTAGTTCTCCAGGAAGTTATATCATGAGTTATTGTTATACAATCATCTCTTTCCCCTGCCAAATTTCAAGGGATTTCTGAAAGGACAGGTGCTCTTGCCTCAGCTTTTCAGATAGAAGTTTAAGGAAATAACTAATTATAAAGATTAATTTTATATTGATGTTCATATCGTGATCTGATTTCCTGAAGGTAGGTTTAATGTATTTTTAAATAAAAATACTTAAGATAAACATTGTAAATTTGAAATAAAAACAGTAATGTTATTTAAAATATAAAGGAAAGAATGGGAAACTCAGGTCTCCCTAGCAATGTGGGACACCCTCTCCAAGATGATATATTAATCCATTGCATTCAAATCCTGCTCATTTTCTCCCTGGACTCAATCCATTTACTACCAGGCCATTGGCTCCAGGCTGTATGTTCATGTTCTTTATTCACTGCCTTGCACCTACAGTTAATTGGGACACATTGCCTAGATAACAGAAAAATCTGGCTGATACACCTCCCACTAATAATAGGGATCATGACCTTGACTGTGACCCGTGACCTTGATAATGTGGAGTTCACTTAGAACATCTCACTATACTTCACAATAATTTGGTGATTTACCTACATGGATGATACACATTGTCTGAAACAGGTACTGAGCTTAGAAACTTTCAGTATTAGCTGTATAGCTTCAGACACATCTACTATCTGGTGGCTCAGTTTCCTCACCTATAAAACAGGGACAACAACAGGACCCATCTCTTAGGATCACTGGCAGGATTAAATGAATTAATACATGTAAAATACTTAGAATAGTGCCTGGTCCTTAGCAAGCACCTAAATGTTAGCTATTATCTTTACTATTATTAAAGTATTGCTTACTCGGAATTAGTCCCACTTAAATACAGTCCAGTGAATGAGCTTTTGGTCTCAGAATTCCATACAGACATGGAGATTATAACCAACCAGGTAAGCATACCTCCATATGAGGCATGTCTTAAAATTTTGTGATCTTTTAAGAACAGAACTTTTCTACTGGTGGAGGTTTACTTATGGTCCAAAGTAGATGATCTGATCCAATTGCTCTGATACATAACATGAGTAAAGTTAAAAAATAAAATGGGGATGGGCAGGGGAAGCTGTGCAAATAATCAAAACTCTTCAACCCCTAGTCATTGTTCTTTCAGAGTTGAAGATATTTATAACAACACTGCTATTGTTTCTTTAGAAAGAATAGCATATAACCCAATTTTAATGCATACACAGTAACTTCAAATTTCTAGTATTATATATATACACAGAGAGAGAGAGAGAGAGAGAGAGAGAGATCAATTCATATGAACACCCTAGGCTGTTAACTTTCAAGACCTGTAACTGGAGTCTTTTTCTTGGTGTAATCTTGAAGCCTGCATACTTCCTTGGCCATGCTAACCATGGGAACTGTTCTTGGCTTCTAGCTCCAGTTCAACAGTGATTTGGTGAGATGTCTGTGACAATCAGTGTAGATAGAACTTTATCTTATTTTTTCTTCCCCCTCTGTCTGCACTGGCAAAACAATGTTATCAAATAGTTTTACTCCGGATGGTCACAAGAACCTGGGAGCATTGTACTTCAGCCTAAACGTTAGCAGAATTCGGCAACGATATATCCCTACTGCAATTAACAACCACTCATTCTTTTCAGGTGTTCAGGTTATTAAAGACTTGGGAGTCAATCTTCACTCCTCCTATACTCATACCTCATATCCAGTTTATCGGAAATACTGTGTCTCTGCTTTAAAAATAGCCAGAAACCAACAACATCCTATTACCTCCACCACTACCCCTGGTCTAAGCCATCATATTTCACCTTCGTTATTGCAATACTCTTGTAACTGGTCTCCCAGCTTCCACTCTTACCTGCCTTATGGCCTAGTTTCCACACACAATATGATCCTTTTAAAAGTTAAGTCACAATCACACCACTCTTCTGTTCAAAACCTCTCAAAAGATCCCCGTCTTGTTCAGAGTAAAACTCAGATCTCTTACAAAAAGCCTATATATGGTCCTAAGCCTGTGGCTCCCTTCACCAGCCTTCCTCACTTCTACCTTCTGACCTCTTGTCTACCTCCCTCTGCCAGGAATGCTCTTTCTCCTTCTTCATGCAGTCACCTCAGTGAGGCCCATCCTGACTATCCTACTTAATATATGTGCTGCCGAAGCGAGCACCTGACTATCCTACTTAAATATACATGTCTCCACACACCTAAGTATTTCCTATCCTATACTCGTTTTATCACTAATACAGAAACTCCGAAAGTATGAGCCCCAGAACTTTCTGGCAAGTTCCCAGGTAATGCTGATGCTGGGGGACCAGGAACCACACTTTGCAAACCACTGCTTCAGGAGAATCTCTTTTCCCAGATTCTCATTGTGATTTGGGTAGGGCTAAATTACTTAAACTTCAGGCACCTCCAGACTACCTAAGTGTCTCTTAACTCAGAATGCCAGGCCCCACCCTTACAGTTTTTTTCTGATTGGGTAGGACTGGGGCAAGAGCCCGAGATTTGCATTTCTAACCATTACCCTTTGAAAACCACTGGTTGAATATATGATACACTTTTTATTAAGTTTCTCTGCTTCCTTTCCATAAGAATATAAATTCTATGAGGCAGGAATTTTTTCTTATTTTCTGCTGTCTTCTCATGCAAAGGACAATACCAGGTACATAGTAGCTGCTCAAAATACATGTTGAATGACTAAATAAAAATCGCTTATCCTAGTGTTACATCAAAAAATTTCTAACTTTATCTTGCCAGATTCCATATGAAGAAATACAAAGCTAAAAGTATTTACAGTTTAATCCTCAGGCAAGAAAGCATTTTAAAGCATTAAGACAGAGACAGCTGGGATTTCCTGATATATGGGAAATGAATTATTAACAGACATTATTATCTTAACATTGAGGTTAATAACAATAAACATTTGTGGTCTGCTACCAACTGCTGAGCACTTCATGTAAAGTATCTCATAACATTCTGAGGAAGCTAGCGATGTTGCTTCCATTTTATAGATAAGTGCTGTTACACCACAGCCCAATTATCAGTGAACTCCAGGGTTTCCACATTATCTTCTCCCCTCAAGGTGCTCTCCCAGTTGGGAGCAACAAAGTATGGTGTAAAATAGGTGACAGTTTTCTTTCTAGTGTCCAGACATGTTAAGATCTGAATTAAAATTTGCTGGATTTATTTATCTCTTGTAACACACTAAAGATCATCCTAGACTCTCTTCTACTACAATAAAGGTCTAGAGGAATGCATCAGAGCACTATAGTTTTAGATGCAAATGTTGAACTCTACAGATGTTATAAGAATTTAGTTGTGAAAGATATGAACACATTTTTCAGGAGGCATGGTTTGTGGGGCTTGTATTTTCAATACCTTAGAATAGTTTATTCTGTACGAATGTTCATTCTATCAAACCCTATGCAATAGCATTACACTTAGGCAAAGAAAAATTAAAAGACAAATGATTATGAGTTAATGATCCACTTTCTTTCAGAGACTGTTAAAACAGGGGTCAGCAAACTTTTTCTTAAAGGGCCAAATAGTAAATATTTTAGACTTGCAGGCCATCTAATTCTGCAGTCAGGGAAAGCAAACACAGATTAAACATAAATGATGGGTATGGGTTTTTTTCAATAAAACTTTATTTACACAGCAGGTGGTCTGCCCACTGACTATACATAGTTTGTGGACCCCTATGTTAAATGACTCCAATCTTAACGGGATGAACGAAATGGACCAGATAAATTTCAGGTAAATTTGGCAAATTTACCTCTTTCCTTTTAAAAACTGTTTTTTTTACCATAGAAATATCCATATTCCTGTACTAAACATAATGACTTAAATAATGACAAACTCTAGCACGCAAATTAAAACACATTTGGCTCTGTAATAAGCTGAACAAGTTAAAAGAATCCTTGTATTTATTTTTTACACAGCACAAATGCAGGTGACACACAGTAAGTCCATAATTTCCCACAAAACTTATAAACTTAACAACTGAGAGTCTAAATTCTTATAATCTTCGGCATCGCTCCCAGCTATACACTGTATGGAATCCATTCCATAGCAGCAGAGAACCTTAACTTTAAGCACCAAATTTCCAGGCATTACCACAAATGTCTTTTTTTCATTCCCTAGTACATGCAGTCAAACTGCCTATGAATAAATACCAATTCACTTTAAGCTTCAATGGAGAAGGGAAAGCAGTTGGGAAACCAACATTATTCTTAAATCTAAGAGTGATTCCACCTCTTTACCTTGTCTTTTCTTCCATAAAAATTTTAACTTTTAACGTAGTGATATTAAACATGAACATAAATTTATTTTGAACATAATCCCTTTCAGATTTATTTAACAGTTTAGGATGTTCATATTTGTTTTACAAATCCAGAGGAAAACAAAAACATGATCTCTAGCATATTCTGGCAATTTTTATTAAAAGTTAAATTTAGAATTTTATAGCAAAATAATATAGTCTGTGTGTCCAAATTATGATTAAAAAATCCTTAATTTATGTATATTAAGATACAATGTGAACCCCAATACATTTTATAGAAGTGTGTTTTCGTTTTCTGAAGCAGGATTTAATGGGCATTTTTAGGATTTTGCTCACATCAGCCCTGTATACCCGGAGATTACTGGATCCACTAAATGGACAATGAAAACTGGTTGAGGCTGCTGCTGAATGCTTCAACAGGAATCTGATAAACAGACACAGATTTCATTGTTATAGTCAATGCAACTGAAGTCTTCCTTAAAACTGTGCTCCTGATAGGCTGAAGATAGAGTAATGGACTGTTAGTTCTTTAAGCCAAAAATGCATGGATCTACTGTACAAAGGCTTCATTCTCTGCCTGTAGTTAGTAACTTGAGGGCCTTCTGTAGATTCTGCACAGCAGTGCTGACATCTTCGTATTGCAAAGCACTGCCAGCATATTTGCAGTATTTCTGGGCTCTAGCAAAGTCCTCTGGTGTTAGACGGATATCCCCTAGAAGAAAAGTAGAGCAATTAAGGTATCTGTAGGAATCAAAAAAGTATTCTATTAGGTTAGGTAAATGCTTACATTTAAGATTATAGAAAATATTTAAGGTTATATAAAAACATGAAGGTTTTTTCAACCCCAGGTGTAAATATTTAACTAAGTATTTTCATGCTTCTCACTTTTTTTTTACTAACATAAACCATACACATGCCAATACTAATAACTTATACGAAAAAATTTTTCTTCCAGAAGTAATAAACTAGAAGCCTTTATATTTTGATAAATTAATTGCAAAAAAATTATATTCTGTGTAAAAAAAAGGATAGTAGCTTTGGTGTTTATACTAGAATTGTTGAGCCTCTCTTTTCATGGAACAATACACACAGACTAAACCATTCAACCCTCACTTGAGCTAGAATATAAATATAATTCTCAATGAAAAAAATAAATTTAAAAAAATTACATAAGTCATTTAACTTTTTTAGCATGAAAATATTTTGTTTTTGTGCCATCCATATAAAAACCTCTAGTTTAATTATCATTAAATTACAAAACTAAACATATGAACAACCTTTACAAATTATGTCCAAAATTTATTCTCACCAAGTTTTCCAGTTACACATACGATTAATAAGGGTAGAACCCGACTAAATAATCTGGGTAAAACCAAAAAAACAACTTCACTTGGGGCGCCTGGGTGGCTCAGTCGTTAAGCATCTACCTTCGGCTCAGGTCATGATCCCAGGGTCCTGGGATCGAGCCCTGCATCGGGCTCCCTGCTCAGCAAGAAGCCTGCTTCTCCCTCTCCCACTCCCCCTGCTTGTGTTCCCTCTCTCGCTGTGTCTCTCTCTGTTCCAAATAAATAAAAAAAAATCCTAAAAAAAAACTTCACTTAATCAAGCTAAGGTTTGAATATATATTTCTAAAGATGAAATTAAAAACTGACTTTGTGCCCTGACTTTTGAAATAGCATTTTCTTCAGAATTCTTTATAAGGATATTAAGAACTGATCAGAAAGAAGGCTAGGGCACAGACTAAAACAAATAATATATTTCAAATTCTGTTTATAAATGAACAGTTAATATATTTCAATTCTGTTTATAAGCATGAACTTATAAACAGACTATCTTTAGTTGCTTTTAATTTTGCTATATATATGTATACATACATACATACACACACATATATATATGGCATATAATGAAAACTTTGATATTACAAAGTAGGTAGTGACTCCAGGTATCCAGATACTAAGTTCTGATCCAAATCATTATTTTCTAAAATTTTCAAGAGTTCTGAAACAATGTATCCTAAAGTTTCTAGGCCAAAGCCAGGCACCCATAAGTACTAAATAACTTTAATGAATGAATATAAAAATGCTGTCTGTACATTTCCTACATTTTAAAATAAAGTTCATACAGAATTAAACATTAATGAGATTTCAGATTTTAAGATAATACACATAGATCCACATGTAGTAATTAGCCCAGTGTATGACATATAAAGTCTTCAAAAATTTTTTGATTATTAAAGATCACAGTGGTTGGTCTTTACTGTTGTGAATAAGAGATTATATATTCCAATTTTGACAGACCTTGTTTCAATTTTCTTGAATTTCAGTCTTGCTTAAAAAGCAAGAAATACAAATCAATATACTAGTAAAATACAATTATACATATATATTTATATTTATTTATATATTATATTTATTTATATTTGTTTATTTATTATTTTTAATTCTCCCTCTCCCTTATTTGTATTATATATATATATATGAATGTATAAACATTTTTCCACAAATCTTTTAGTATTCTAGTGCCTTGGCATTTGTTACCCATTAAACCTAAAAAACAATTATCCTGCAGTTGTTCTGTTGACAATTTAGTCAGGACACTTTAGGTTCTTCAATGGTTTTTCCAAATATATTAAGAGGTTCTAGTCATCTAAAGCTATACATCCTATCTAGGTGAGGGAGACGCCTTTGAAAATTAAGTTTACCCCACTACTCATTTCATGCTTGAATAGCCCGTCCTCTTATCTCAGGGCAATCTTTAAGTATGCAGGGAAACCATTCAGAATTTATCGGACCTGCTGGAAGAAAGCCCCAATGACAGAACTAATCTTATTTTTACAGCATTAGCCTTAGCAGTGTTTTGCTGATGTATCACTTATTTACTAATGAGATGTATATAGTGTTAAGAACTCCATTACTATTTTAGTTGTTATAAACTAAACTTACTCACCAATGATAAAACTATTTTAAAACACAAATATTGCACTTCTCATGAAGAATTTCAATATTCAGAAAATGTGAATGAAAATATTTTAAAAGAAAATATCATTACATGTATATAATACATATAGCTTATAAACGTATGAAATTATGTAACTATCATATAAAATATAACTAGGTAATAACCAACTTACAGATTCAGATACAAAATGTAACTTATAGATTTAAATAGAGATGCTAGACTTATTAATTAAAAATATAAAGAACTTAAAAAGCCATGTCAAATAGTTACTTTTGCTATTTTATAAGACTTCAGGCTTCCCTTCATTTAACAAATATCATCTAAGAGTCATTAATAATAAAACATGATTAAAATTTTAAATTAAATAAAAAGAAAATCTGCCTAATTAATGATTCTTTTAACTTAGCATTTGAAAATTAGATAAAGTGGAAAATATATAAAAGGAGAAGAGAACAGGAAGAGAACACCTGTTCAATTTCAGTATCTGATGTTATATACAAAATAGTAAATACTGCTTAGAGCACCCAAATAAAAGCTGTTTTTTCTATTATTAAAACTTTAACTAGAGGCCATAATCAGACCAGAGAGAGCGCACACTGTGGACATAAAAGGTGTTTGAAGGAGTAAAGAGGTTGTCTAACAGAGTATCTCTTTTCTGAACTCTATGTTTAACATGTTGCTGATGGCTTCAGAGAAGACCATCCTCATCACAGGGCTGCTTTTCTCCTCCACAGGGCAGAACAAGCAGGCAGAAGACAGCTAGAGCTATTACTCAAGTTCACTATCACAGTGGGAAGAGCCTGGGTCAGCACTGGAACAAAGGTAACATTTTTGGTGTGAAGAGAAATCCCTGCACACTCAGTTGACATAAGCATCCATTTCTAAGGCTAATTTATCTAATGTTATGATAGACCATACAATACTTAATTATAAGGATTTCCAAAATGGGTCTTTAGAGACTCTTTCCTACTTAGCTACGTAATTTTAAGAAATTCATGTCAGGGGCCTTGGATAATCTGATCCTAATGTACTCTATTATCCTCTGACTTGAATGGAAAGCATGGGCAGAATCATAGGGGAAGCATGTGATATGCAGTACATCTTGGGAGTAAAGATAAAGCTCAGCACTGAACCCTTATATCCAGGCATTGCCAAGCTATGTTTCTTAGAAATGGCAACACTAGAATGATTAGAGGTAGAATTTGATTAGGTCATGCACTGTGCTAAATTCGTTTCAGTTATTCCATTTAATTCTCAAAAAAATTCATGAGGTAAGCAGTTATTCACACTCTAATACTATATAGAAATATGTAAGTTAAAAAAGGAAATGTTCTGTTTCAACTACCTACCACCCTTCCAATTCCACTGTCAGCCTTTCCACAGTCAGCCACAAATTCACTACAGAAATGTTTAATATATTAATACTAATGCACATACACTATGTGTATTAAAGGTGATAAGTACTAAGCACTAAAGAGAAAAATGTAGCAGGAAAGGGGTTCAGGGAGTATTTATTAGAGGTGGTGGTGAAGACAGTGATGGTTATGAAACTACTAGTTTTGGTCTGAGTATTATCTAGAATTTTTCTATGTTCTTGAACACATACGTACATGCAGGAGGATAGTTTTCATATTTTTTTTCCTAAATAGGGTCATACTATATATAATGTTCTGCAACCTGTTTTTTTTTTTTTTTACTTAATATGCTTAGGAGATCTTTTCACATCAGAGTTACTATATATATTTAATATCTGCTCAGTATTCCATATGACAAATGAACCATAATATCCCATTAATTAGCACTTAAAAGATTATTTTCTACTATTGTGATGATGTTGAAATAAAATATCCTTGTAAATTTTGTGCCCATGTCTGAGTAATTTTTTAAGATAGTAGAATATAGCAGGTTCAAAAAAATTATATTTGCAATTCTGATAGTGACATAGTGCTGCTGCAAAAACTTTACTAATGTACATTTCCCACCAACAGCATGCGAGAGTCATTCCTTAGGTCTTCAATGACACTACAGATTATTGATCCTTTAAAATATTTTTTTAGACACTACAGATTATTGATCCTTTAAAATATTTTTTTATCTATTGACATAAACCAAACCAAACTCATTCTAAGTCTCAATTTCCCTGATTATGAATATAGTTGGGAAAGCTTTCATGTGTTCACTAAGTATCTGCATTCCCTATCCTATTCTCTGCCTGTTTCTCGAATTAAGTTTCAGTTATTCATTTGTAGGAGCTCTTTATATATGCTCTGGAAATTACTTCTTTATTTTTAAATTTCAATTTCTTCCTGGTCTATTGTTGCATTCTAACAATGTAATGGGGAAGAAGGAGTCTTCTGTGGTATGAATTTTTCATTTTTCATTTGTCAAACCTGTTAAGACACAACTGAATCAGATACAAGTATTGAGAGACAGTATCTAATATATATTTTTTTCTCATAACCAATTGTTCTTTTTTTTTTTTTAAGATCCTATTTGAGAGAGAAAGAGAGAAAGAACGAGTGGGGAGAGAGGCACAGGGAGAAGCAGACTTCCCACTGAGTGGGGAGTCTAATGCAGGGCTTGGTCCCAGGACCTCAAAATCACAGCCCCAGCTGAAGTCAGACACTTAACTGACTGAGCCACCCAGGTGCCCCCCAAATAACCAATTGTTCAAACATCACTTTTGAATATATATTCTTGCCACACTGATCAAATGCCACATTCATCATTAATTTGATTCCTCTAACGTGTGGTCTAATTTCCAGAGTCCCTATTCTGTTTCACTGATCTATTTCAGATATTTTCACATCAGATTTTAGGTGGAGCTTTTAAAATTGGGTGGGACTCCAGAGGGGAGTCTGGAAACCAAGTTTAACAGAGGAATATAGTATTCATTGGGCAGGTTATCTAGTCTACTAACAGATAAATATTTTCCACTATGTTCTTGGGTAACTTGCCAGTTTATTACAGGTTCCTTTTTGTTTTTGTTTTCAACTATGGTCAGTTCCTCTTTTTGGATAATCTAATAATTTAGTATAGATAAGGAAGATCATAAGACATGGTAATTTTTTAACTAAAGTAATCTAGTATCAGCTTTTGTGACAGCTTTGGCTATTTCTGCCACTATATCCACTGGTATACAAAAAAAAGAAACTGCAAAAAAAGGGGGGAATGTCTTCAAATTTAGATATTTTTGATAATATGAAACAATCTTGGTTCATTGGAGAATCTAGTGAATACAGACATTCAAAGAAATGTGTAAACATTCCAATATATAATACTCTTAAGCTACAATTAGAAAACAACACCTAAAACAAGAGATACAATATATCTCAAAAAATAGTCAACTGACTTACCGTGGGAGACTGTACTGAAAAGTTCAGGATCAATAGCTGGAATAGTCTGTGGAGTAGGTTGGATAGTATTACTTGCTACACCTGCATCAGAAAACCACAAATAGGTATAAAAGTTATACCTCTTAATTATATACTAGGAAAATATTTAAAGGATCATGAAGGAATTCCATTTCTTAATTACTTTTTTGAAATCTTAATGAATTGTAATTTGACATACTTATTTGATGCTGGAGGCTGGTATAGAAAATATGCAGGAAAATATATTCTGAGTGTTTACATACACACATGTCTAATGCAGATGGTCGTTGTCTGCATACTATACTATTTCATGCATTTTTTACTTAGTATGTTTTAGCAATAACTCTAGATATATATATATCTACCTTGTTACTTGACATGGCTACATAGTGTTCCATTCCATGTATGAACCACAATTTATAAAGCAGTCCTTTACTGATGGGCATTTAGGTTGTTTCCAATCTTTTGCTACTATAGATAATACTACAGTGAATAATCTTACACATTGTGTACATATACACACACATATATATATGAATTCATTTATGGGAAAAAATTTAAAGAAGTGTAACTGCAAAGTCAGGGGACATACAAGTTTTAAAGTGACCAATTCAACGACTAGCTTTTGCTTGATTTTGGTAAGTGCTAACCAAATATATTAAAGTATCACCATCCAACATAAACGTCCCCACAAAACTTGCTTTTAAAGACACATAATTACATTTAAAAAAAAAAAAAAAGGAATGCAAGATTTGAGAGGGATCTTCAGAGACTACCTAGTCAAACCTAGTGCTTTGAAGCAGCTGTACCTAAAACATAGGTAGATGATTATAAATTTTTCATATAATGTTAAAAAAAAAAAGGTAAGTCTACAACCCACTCACAGATCAATCTAGATATCAAGCCATTCCTTGCTAGGTAATTTGTGTTTTTGTCTAAATTAAAATTTTCCAAACAAATCCCTTTCTCTATGGAAAAGGAATATTTTTACTGATCAGCATCTTGTATTATTAACTTTTAAATGCTTATTAGTATATTTTCATATGATTAATTAAGTAGGCAATATTAATTAACAAGAACAAAACAGAATTTACAAGGAGAAAATTTAGTTATGTAGTAAAATTTTATTTGAGTGAAATTAAAAAAATAGGTAGTCTGCATTTTATTAAGAACTTCTCGTTACAGTCATTCAACTAAAGCTTGAAATGACAGCAGAGGGTGCTCAACACACCTCAAGCAGCAGTAAGATGCTGCTTCCATTTGTCTTGATGCACATGAGCCAAGGCCTGTCCTTTCGGCAGCCGTCATGACACGTTTCCATGGGGGCCTAGTGTATAGGTCCAACATAAGCTCATACATACTGTTAAATTAGTAAAAGTGGCTTTTAGTTTATGTTATTTATTTTTTTTTGAGATGCCCAAAGCTGTTTTTCTTTCTTTCTGGATTTGGAAAGGTCTCATATGTCAATTCACAAATGGACTGCAACCCCGAAGACTGCAGTATGTTGGGAATATGTTGGGAGTGAATGTGAACATAAAACCATTCATGGAGGAAAGCAGAACTGTGTTGGAAATTTCTTCCTTTCTATTATTTAACAAAAAAGAAGTGTCAACAAATAAGTTCTGGTTAACTTTTAAGTAGATGGTTACGTAGCCTATTAAATGGGATTAACACACATTCAAGAATTAAACATTACAAGATTTCTAATTAAGTACTGAATTTAAATTGTTCTATTGTCTACACGGTCTGGGGATTCTGAAAAGGGAGAAATGGGTGTTGGTTAGAAAACCAGAGAAGATTATCCAGAATTATAATTAAACAGAACCCTTAGGGGAGTAGCATTTGGAGAGGCAGAGAAAAAGGGAGAAAGACACGCTAGATACAAGGAACACTATAAGCAAAGTTAAGAAAATAGGAGGATTGGGTTGAGTAACCCAATTATACCTCAGTATAATCACGGAAAACAGAATTGATAGAAGTGGTCAGGACAAAATACTAACAACTTTGAAAGCTGTGTAGGAAAACTCAAATGCAGTACTTCTCATACATAAAAGAACAACAATAAAAGAGCTAAGTTTTTGATCTACGTATAAAGAGCTGCATTTATAATCAAAAGGCTAGCGTTCATTATAACATAATTCTAATATTTAATCTAATTACTGAGATCTTCTTCCTCAATATGTATAGGCTGTATAAAGCATATGTTTCAAGAGAAAGGACAAACCATCCACTCTATCACCTCCATCTGATTGTCCACAGTGGTTGAAGCCCAGAGGCACTCTGCCTGCTTAAACAATCGCTCTCACTGCACTCCTTGCACCCCCTGTACTTTTTTGTGGAAGAACTAAAAACCATATATTAGTACATACTATTCTTTTCAGCTATCTTGAGGATTTCCCTTTGATAAAAGTATATCCTGGATCTTTATATGAGGGAAAGTAAATCAATCTTAAAGTGAGTAAGAGGGGAAACATCTGCTATATTTAAAAACTAAAAATGTTATTTCATTTGCTATTAGCCAACTGTGAACTGATTTTTTTTTTTTTAACTGTTTTAAATATAATAGAAAAAAAATCTGCCAGCTAAGAAGAGATTCCAATATCGCAAACCAATTTTAAGGGGCAAAATATTGTGAGAAAAGTAGATTTTGATTTAACAGGGTTTTAGTTCCTTGGAGGAAGAGACACAGAAAGGAGGTACCAAAAACATGAAATCAGAAAGACATGGGTACAAACTCTGTCACTAATAGATATGTTTATATGTTTATTTTCATGGGATAATTGTTTAATTTCTTTACAGTGTCTAAACTAGAGATAGCAATATCTAATATAGTTAATATAGTTGCTGCAAGAATTCATAAAATAGCTACAATAATTTTGTAAATACTAAGTCTATAAGAGTGTATATAACGTAACAAGATAGGACCTCACCCTAAAAAAGTTCCAAGATTTTTGGTTTTATGTGCTCACTCTGAGGAACAAAAAAGAAAAAATACTTGGAGAGAGATGAACTGTTCATGCCAGAAAACTTTCTAATAGAAGACTACCTCCTTAATATCTGTTTATGTATGTCAAAGATATTCCAATCAGGAGATAACAGTCTATTAGTTTGAACATATGAAACTACTAAGATTTTATCACTTATGTTACATAAAAGTAGCAATTTCATATGGTTCAACGGAATACAGCCCTCCCAGAAGTAAGCTTCTATATACACACTGTATGACTATATATAAAATATATGTATATAGGTGCCTGTACCAGAATTCTGCCCTAAGATAAGTTGTCTAACATGGTACCCTTTAGGCAACTTTTTTTTAAGGTCAATATCCTACCCCCAAAGGTGACACTTCCCTTGATTCACAAAATGATTTTAAGTTTCATTAGCTTGCTCTTAAATACCCTGTCTTTGGCACAGAGATAGGAAGGAAGAGAGAAAAAAAAAAGGAAAAGGAAGCTAATTTGCTGAACACTGATTTTGTGATTAGGCACAGTAGTAGTGAATTTTCAAACTTTTTCTTCTTTAATAATTAAAATCATGATGAGAAGTATGATTAATTTCATTTTAGAAAGATTGGCAAAACCTAGACTGAGAAGCTGAATAACATCTGAGTTTGTGGTTTAGCAAGGGGCAGGAACTAATAACCAATACTATTTGACTTCAAAATACATTTTATTCGCACTTGGCCCTTCTATAAAAATGGTGTGTCAGAGGCTCCTGGTTAGTGTTTAAATTCAATAGAATAGAGTAGTATTTATCTAAGGCAAATACATCTGAGTAGCTGGTATTGCTTATATTATTCTACACTGGAAATACTGAATATTTCTATAAGAAAATAAAATATTTATAACAGCGTTCTGTGAAATTTTACTTACAAAACAAACTCAAATTGCTCTGTCTATTAAACTCATCATACAGACCATAAAGCAAAGCAAAGTCAGAGTAAAATATACAGAATGATGACACAGAAGAGATCAGGGTTAAAATAATCACATTCATCAATATTCTTCAAGACAAAAATAACAGCAATATTTGTAGATAATATAAAGTTAAAAGTTTTAAAATAGGAGGAAAGAAATTAATAATAATTGGTGCTATAACAGTCAAATAGAAAACTTTTTTAAATGTTATTCAACTCATGCAAAATAAGCTAAAATGGTTTGGGTAAACTGAGGCTGAAAATCTGAAAGTCAGTGAAGTAATAGTGTGGTACTTAACAGAAACCACAGAAATTAGGGCTCAAAGGATGACTTTCAGCCTATGAATTAAATATTTTGAAATGTTTGTATGGTTTACTACTGTAGGTTACATTTATGCTGAGATAAAATACTTTAAGAACAATTTTTGGAAAAACTTCAACATGTAAATTATGGCTTTAAATGCCCTTCTTTCTGAAGGTAAGGATAACACTTTGTCAACAATACAAGTAAATGGAAGAGTATCTGTCTGCAATTTTAAAAAAAATTATCTTTCATTTACTGATATTGACTCATTACTAGAGACTAGTGTTGTTAGAGCTTTTCCATGAAAACACAGACATAGAATACCAATTTATTCAAAGACAGAAGCTATCACTTCGCTTTCTTTCCTTCAGTCAACTGTTTCTAATATTAAAAGAAATAACCCACACCCCCTCTTTTCGGTTGTGATTCCACTGCTATTGAAATTTTCTGCCTCAATGCCTGCTCCCTTCATCAATATCTATGTTGAGGGCAGAGGGCGGGTCCTAAGGAAATAAGGCAAGAAAAATCAAATCTTGCTGACACAGTGGGATGCTGACCCACACATACTATGATAGATCCACACAACTCAGTGCTAATCTTGGACAGTGAAGGGCAAAGAAAGGGAGGGGAAGAAAGAGAAAATAGCACCACACATGAAAAGCACAGAAGCTATTCTTAGTAATAAAGTTAATAGTAACATATGTAAATGTTTGGTCACTTCTCAAAAAACTAAAGGACAAACAACAATAAAACTTCAACAAAAAGGACTGAATATTTTTTTTTAATAATTTTTTATTGTTATGTTAACCACCATACATTACATCATTAGTTTTTGATGCAGTGTTCCATGATTCATTGTTTGTGCATAACACCCAGTGCTCCACGCAGAATGTGCCCTCTTTAATACCCATCACCAGGCTAACCCATCCCCCCACCCCCGGACTGAACATTTTTTGTAGGTTCAAATAGAATTTAAAGATCTTACTATGCTTCATTACTATCACGATCAGGCATAAACACAATAAAAAGTGCAGTCCTTATTTATGAAAGGAGAGTTCAAAACTTGTTAAGCTTTAATTTCCTACCTGTGCTGTGAGGCACTTCTGCTGGTGTATTAGCTGGAGCGTGCGCGCCGGGAGGAATCTGTATGCCAGAGAAGCTGCCGGATGGCATGCTGCTTGGGTCGTAAGTCGAAGATGATGGCTGAGGTGGCTGAGTCGGCAGGGATGTTGCTCCAGCATCTTCATTTTCTTCAACATCTATTATATAATTTACACGTAAAGTTAAACTAGGTATTTGGAAGAAATATGCCAAACATTCTTATTTTGCTATACAGACATGATGAACAGACCTTCTGATGCAATTCTATTTAATGCAATTGATAAGTAGGCTCTAGCTCTTAATAGTTTTGTTTTCTTTTCTTAAATCACTTAATTATACCTGGCAATATGATTGTCACTTCAAGTTAATACTTATACTTTACAATTCTATTAAAATCTTTGCATATAGTATATTCTTCTTAAAAATAAATTTTCTTTAAACTCACTCTTTAAACTTAAGATAAACAGGGTATTTTTGGCAAGACATGTCACATTTATGCTATCCATAGACTTTTTCTTTTTTTTTTTTTTAAGATTTTATTTATTTATTTGAGAGAGAGAGAGACAGGGAGAGAGGGAACACAAGTAGGGGGAGTGGGAGAGGGAGAAGCAGGCTTCGGGTGCAGGGCTCTATCCCAGGAGCTGGGATCATGACCTGAGTCCAAGGCAGACGTTTAACGCCTGAGCCACTCAGGTGCCCCTAGACTTTATTTTTCTGACAGCTGCCTTTTACTCAGTATTCATTGTTCACACTACCTATTAAATGATTACCTGTGTGTTTGTTGTAGGTTAATCAACAAAAACAAAGGAATGAAATTTCACAGAGCTACCTGCACAGAAAGTAGTAATAAGAGACTTTGTGTTGAATTGCTTCTTGGTCTTTTGGCTAAGATCAAGTGTAGAGACTCTGTGTTGGTAAGTTCTGAAATACAGACTTAAAATATACTATATTATTAGCTGAATTTGAAAGCTACTCTGGGAAAATTAAATATTGATAGTCTATTTAAAATGACAATTAGCCACTTTTGGGAATCTTCATAATTTAAAATGTAAGCGAGAGCAAGAGATTTCTGAAATCAATTTATTTCCTATCAAATTTTTAAATAACTTTTTTGTTTGATCATAACCATATTACATATTCAATGTGGATAATTTTAAACAACCAAAAAAAAATCCTACCTACTCTAAGATACACATTTTACTAAGTAACCTTGTAGATGTATTTATATACACTAAAATAATTCTCTCCTATATTAGAGAACTATAACATTTATACATCCTGGGAAGGAGCCCCTCCCTCCAATTTTTAAAGGCACTAGAAAGTGACTAAAAGCTGGTAGAAACTAGAGTGAAGATGGCCCTTTGGAGAGGAAATCTCACCAGGTAAGGTTTGTTTTATGAAAACAAAAATGGTGGCTTTTCACCTGCAGGCACTCAACAGTCTGTGCAAAAGAAAGAGTTGCGGAGAAGTGAGCCTTGAAATGTGTATATAAACCCCAACTAAATACCGTATGACCCTGAACTATGCATGCACATTCTGGGAAGATTCTAGAGTGTCCTGGTGAGAGCAATAGCCTTAAAGCTGAAAGAAGGACAGGCAGTGTTTGAGTTCAGGCATGTTAACTGCCTGCTAGGACAAGAATCAAGAACTTGCAGAGGAAGATGAGAAAATGCAGAGGAGCTACAAGACGTTATCAACAATAAAAATTAATAGAAATAAGGGGGGATGGGAGGAAGAAAATGTGACCCGAGTTAGGAGAGAAAAACAGTCTATAGAAGAAGACCCCCAAATGACCCAGATATTAGCAAAAAATTAACTAGCAAAAAATAAATAAATAACATTAAAGCAGGTACTATAAATGTGTTCAAGGCCATAGAGAAAAATGTAGTCATAATGAATGAAAGAGGAAAAACTCACCAGAGAAAAGAAACTAAGAGGAGACAAAAACAGATGGGACTAACAGAAAACAAATGATAAAAACGATAGACTTAAATCTAGCTATAGCAATAATTACATTAAATTAAGTGGACCAAACACAATTTTGAAGGCTGATGTTGACAGACTAAACAAACAATTGAACAAAACCCAAATCAAAAAACACCTATATGCTTTAAGACTCAGATATATTTATAGTAAAAGGATGAACTAAACTATGTAAATACCAAGCAGACAAAAGCTGAAGTAGCTAAATCCAGTAACAGACACAACAGAATTCATTTCAAGGAATATTGCGGGTGCAATAGACAAGAAAAAAAAAAGACATAAAGATTGGAAACAAAGAAGCAAAACTGCTTCTCTTTGCAGATAACAGGATTATCTACACAGAAACTCCCAAGGAATCTATAAAGCAACCACCAGAATAGGTAAACTTAGCAAGGTTGTGCAATACAACATCATTATACAAAAATCAATTGTATTTCATATACTAGAAGTAAACAAGGGAATGAAAAAACCAAATACTCGGAAATAATCTTAACGAAAGAGGCACAAAATCTCTACTCTGAAAAATACAAAATATTGCCGATAGACATTAATGAAGGCTTAATAAATGGAAAGATACACCATATTCATGTAATGAAAGACTCAGTTTTGTTAAGGTATCAATTTTCCCTAAATTTATCTATCAATTCAATGCAATATCAATCCTAATTCCAGCCAGCTGTTTTTTATTTTAATAGAAACTGAAAAACCTACTTCCAAATTTATGGTGAAACTCAAAGGCCATAGAATAACTAAGAACATCTTGAGAAAAAAGAGAAGAGTTGGAGAACTTATGCCATCTGACTCAAGGTTTACTGTAAAAAGGTGGAAGGCAGTGTGCTGTTGGTACAGACCAGAAAAATAGACCAATGTAATTGAACAGAATCTAGATCACACTTACATGGTTAATTGAATTTTTGACAGAGGAACCAAAGAAATTCAACAAGGAAAGGAAAATGCATAACAAATGGTGCTGGAATAATAGGCTATCCTTATGGGGAAAAGAATCCTGAATCTAGCCTACCTCACACTATATGCATGAAAAGATTTAAGGTCTTTCACAAACCTAAAAGTAACAGCTTAAATGATAAATTTTCAGGATTAAAAATATAAAAGAATTTTTAAGGTAGAGGTAGATAAAGATTTCATAGGACATAAGAAGTAGCCCTAAAAATTTTAAAATTATAAATTATACTTCACCAGGATTAACAATTTTTGGTAATTAAAAGACAGTTACGAAAACAAGTAGGGAAACAACAGACCGGGAGTAAATATTTGTAAAACAGGTATCTGACAAAGGACTTCTATTCATAATTTATAAATAATTCAATAATAAAACAAGAGACAACCCATGAAAAATGGGCAGGTATATTAATGTCCACAGTAGTATTCACAACAACCAAAAGGTAGAAACAACCAAAATGTTCATCAATGGATGAAGAAATACAATGTGTAGGGGCATACAATGGAATATTATTCAGCCTTTGGAATGAAATTCTAAAATATCCTGTAACATGGATGAACCTTGAAGACATTACAATAAATGAAATAAGCCAGTCACAAAAGGACAGATACTGTATGATTCCACGTATATGAGGTACCTAGAGTAGTCAAATTCACAAAGACAGAAAACAGAACAGTGGTGACCATGGGCTAGGAATGGATAGAGTAAGGGGGACTTACAGTTTAATGGGTACAGTTTCAATCTGAGAAGACGAAAAATGTTCTGGAGATAGATGGTGGTGACAGGCTGAATAATATGAATTTGCTTAATGCCACTGAGCCGTACATTTAAATGATTAAAATGGCAAATTTTGTTATGTATAATTTACCACAACAAAGAATGGGCAAAAGATTTAAACAGACATTTCACAAATAAAGATATATGAAAAGCCAGTAAACACATATAAGAGAGTTCAATATCGCTTAGCCATTGGGGAAAAAAGGCTAATTAAACCACAAATGAAGAACCACTACATAAGGATCAGAATGGCTAAAATTTTTTTTTAAAGATTTTATTTACTTATTCATAAGAGACAGAGAGAGAGAGAGAGGCAGAGGGAGAAGCAGGCTCCCCGCTGAGCAGGGAGCCCGATATGGGACTCGATCCCAGGACCCTGGGATCATGACCTGAGCCGAAAGCACCCAGAATGGCTAAATTTAAAAATACAATTACCAAGTGCTAGCAAGGATAGAGAGAGACAGAAACTCTAATACATGGCTGATGAAACTGTAAATGGTACAAGGATTTTAGAAAATGCTTTGGGAGTTTTATATATAACCCAACAACTCTATTCTAGCTACTGACCCACAGCAATGAAACACATCCACCTGTTCCCAGATGTATGTCTAAAAACCATATGTATTTAAATGTCAAGAAGCTTAATTCATCAAAACCTCGAACTAGAAAGAGCCATAATGTTCATTAGCAGATGAACTGATAAACGAATATGGTATCCATACTATGAAATACTACTCAGCAGTAAAAAAGAGCGGACTACTGCTCACAAGACACAAGACACAGATGAATCTCACAGATATGGTGCTGAAAGAAGCTAGGTGCATAACAACATCGTGGGACTCCATTTACACAATGTTCTAAATCAGACAAAACTAATTTTTGATTAAACAAACAACTAAATCAGTTGTTTCTCAAGGTGGAAATGGGCTGGGAAAGAGTATGAAGTAATTTTGGGGGGTAATGGAAATGTTCTTTATTTAGAGTGTGTGTTGTCAAAGTCACTGAGCCACTGAATTACACTACTAAGCAAACAGTAAACTTTAATTTGTATCTGTAGATGCTAAAGATAATGGGGTAATGTTTCATTAAAAATAGGGTATTTACATAGTCTCAAAGGGACTTATTCCACAATAACTTATTAATAACACAAACAGCTTATTAATAACAAAGGAAAATCATTTTAAAGTGCAATAACTCAGAGAATACCACATTATCTGAGCGGCAGTTAATATCACCAATATTTCACCAATATTAGACACTTCCAGTGCAAGGTAGGGGACACACTCTCAGTCTGGCGTATTTCTGCTAAACATGCATAACTGTAATCTAATTATGAGGCAACATCAGGCAAACCCAAATTGAGGGACAGTCTATAACTAGTCTGTATTCTTCAAAAACATTGGGCCAAGAAACACCTAGAAAGACTGAAGAACCATT